CCTGGTGTTAAAAGAAAAAACTTTTAAACCCGGGTTTTTAAAAACAGAATAAGCTTTTAAATCCTGGTTTAAAAAGAAAAGCTATTAATTCCGGTGAAAACGGTAAAGCTATTAACCTGGTGAAAAACAGACAAGCTATTAAATCCTGGTTTAAAACAGAGATAACTTTTAAAATTGGTGTTTAAACAGAAAACAACTATTAAATCCTGGTTAAAACAGAGATAACTTTTAAACCCGTTTAAAAACAGACAGCTTTTAAATTGGGATTAAAACCAAAAAAAGTTTTTTTTAAAATTTTTGAGTTAAAAAAAAAAAAGCTTTTAAAACCCTGGTTTTAAACAGCGAAAATTTTATTAATTGTTGTTAAACAGAACAAGCATTAATCCGGGTGTTAAAACAGAAACAAAAAACCCTGGTTTTAAAAAAAGGGCAAGCTATTAAATCCTGGTGTTAAAAAACAAGCTTTTAAAACCCGGGTTTTAAAACGAGTAAGATTAAAATCTGGTGTTAAAACAGGACGTATTAATTCCGGGTGTAAAACAGATAAAGCTTTAAATCCTGGTGTTTAAACAAGACAACAAAAATCCTGGTTTAAAAACAAGATAACATTAAACCCGGGGTTTTTTAAAAACAAAACAACAAAAATCCTGGGTTTAAACAGACAAGCTTTTAAAATCCGTTTTTTAAACGAGAAAACTATAAATCCGGGTGTTAAAAGACGCATTAAAATTGGTTTTAAACAGAGCAAACTATAAATCCTGGTGTTAAAACAGAGATAAGCAAATAAATCCGGGTTTTTTAACAGAACAAGCTATTAAATCCTGGTGTTAAAACAGACAAGCTTTAAATCCTGGTTTTTAAAACGGACAACTATTAAACCCCCTGGTATTAAAAAAAACAAGCTTTTAAATCCTGGAGTTAAAACAAAAACAAGCTATTAAAATCGGGATTTTAAAACAGAAAAAAGCTATAAATCCGGGTTTTTTTAAACAGAGAAACTTTTAAAACCCTGTTTTTAAACAGAGACAAGCTATTAAATCCTGGGTTAAAACGACAAAGCAATTAATCCGGGTTTTTTAAAACAAAACAAGCTATTAACCCGGGTTTTTTAAAAACGAGACATTTTAAAAATCCTGTTGTTTAAAAAACAGAGACAACTTTTAAACCCGGGTTTTAAAAACAAAAGCTATTAAATCCTATTTTTTAAAACCCCAAACAGAGAAAGCTAAAAAATCCGCTGTTAAAAAGAGTCAATTTAAAATCCGGGTTTTTAAAACAGAGCCGCTTTTAAACCCTTTTTATCAAGACAGCTTTAATCCTGGGTTAACAGAGGCTTTAAAATCCTGGTTTTAAAAAACGAGACAAGCTATTAAATCCGGGGGTTTTAAACCAAGACAAGCATTAATCCTGGTATTAAAAAAAAAGTATTAATCCTGGAGTTTAAAACAAAAACAACTATTAAACCCGGGTGTTAAAACGAGAAAAAGCTATTAATCCTGGTTTTTTAAAACAGAGACAAGCTTTTAAAATCCTGGGTTAAACGAGAAAAGCTATTAAATCCTGGTTTAAAACAGAGACAACTATTAAATCCTGGGTTAAACAAACAGCTATTAAACCTGGTTTGAAAAACAGAAAAGCTTTAACCCGGGAGTTAAATAAACAGCTTTTTAAATCCTGGGTTTAAAACAGAACAACTTTTATTTCCGTTGTTTTAAAAAACGAGACACTTAATCCTGGTTTTTAAAAAAGAAAAGCTTAAATCCGGGTGTAAAAAAGAGATAAGCTATTAAACCTGGTGTTAAAACAAGACAAGCTTTTTAATTCCTGTGAAAAACAAGACGCTTTTAAATCCTGGTTTAAAAACCGAAAAGCTAAAAAAATCCTGGTTTAAAAAACACAAAGCTATTAAACCCGGGGATTTAAAACCAAAACGCTTTAACCTGGAGTTAAACCCAGAAAAAGCTTTAAATCCTGGTTTTAAAACAAGACAGCTATTAAACCTTTTTTTTAAACAGAACGTTTTAAAACCCGGGTTAAAACAGACAAGCAAAAAAATCCGGGTTTTTAAAAACAGAAAAAGCTTTTAAAATCCTGGTTTTAAAAAAAGAGAAAACTTTTAAACCGGGTGTTAAAACGAGTAAGTATTAAACCCTGGTGTTAAAACAGAGAAAAACTATTAAATTCCGGGTGATAAAACGGGGTAAAGTATTAACCCGGTATAACAAACAAGCTATTAAACCCGGGTTTTAAAACAGAGATAAGCTATTAAACCCTGGTTTTTAAACGAACAACTATTAAAATCCGGGTGTTAAAAAATAAGCTAAAAAACCCGGGGTTTTAAAACAAAAGCTATTAAACCCGGAGTTTAAAACCCAAAACAAGCTTTTAATTGGGGTTTTTAAAACGAAAAAAGCTTTTAAAATCCGGTGTTAAACAGCAAAGTTTTTTTAAAACCCTGTTTTTTAACAAGAAGCTTTTAAAACCCTGGTGTTAAACAAAAGCAATTAAACCCCTGGTTTTTAACAGAGACAAGCTTTAAATCCGGGTTTTAAAAAGAGAAAAGTATTAAACCCCCTGGTTTTTTAAAACAAGATAAGTTTAAATCCGGTTTAAAAAGAGACAACTATTTTTTCCGGTGATAAACGAGTAAAGCTTTTAATCCTGGTGATAAAAAAGCAAAAAAACCCTGGTTTAAACGAGATAATTTAAATTTGGTGTTTAAACAAAAACACTATTAACCCGGTTTTAAACGAGCAAGCTAAAAATCCGTTTTTTAAAAAACAGGACAACTATTACCCGGGGTTTTTAAAAAACAAGCTATTAAATCCTGGTTTTAAAAAGAGAAAAAACATCAATCCTGGTGTTAAAACAAAATAAGCTATAAATCCTGGTTTTAAAACGAGACAAGCATTAATCCTGGTTTTTAAAACAGAAAAGCTTTTAAAAACCCCGGGGTGAAAAACGAACAAGTTTTAAAATCCGGTATTAAACGAAAAGCATTAAATCCTGGTTTAAAACAGAAAAAAGCTTTTAAATCCGGGAGTTAAAACGAGACAACGTTAAACCCTGGTGTTAAACGGGGGCCAAGCTAACACCCCTGTGTTTAAAACAAGACAAGCTATTAAACCGGGTTTTTTTAAAACAACCCACTATTAAACCCCTGGTTTAAAAAAAAACAGAGACAAGTATTAAATCCTGGTTTTAAAAACAGAAAAGTCTTTTAATTTTGGTTTAAAACAGAGAAAAGCTTTTAAAATCCGGGTTTTTTAAACAGAGACAACTATTAAACTTTTTAAAAACAGAGACAAGTTTTAAACCCGGGTTTTAAACAAACAATATTAAACCCCGGGGTTTTAAAAAACAGAGACAAGCTTTTAAATCCTGGGTTAAAAAGAAAGTAATTAAATCCCTGGTGTTAAACAGAGATAAGCTAAAACCTGGTTTAAAACGAGAAAACTTTTAAATTTCCCTGGTGATAAAACAGAGCAAACTATAAATCCTGTGAAAAAAGAAAGTATTAATCCTGGTGTTAAAAAGGATAAGTTTTTAATCCGGTGTTTAAACGAGACAAGCTTTTAAATCGGGTTTTTTTTAAAACAAGAAAAAGCTTTTTAAATCCTGGTGTTAAAACAGAGACAAGTATTAAATCCTGGTGTTTTAAACGACAAGCTTTTAAAATCCTGGTGTTTAAACAGAGACAAGCTATTAAATCCTGGTGTTAAAACAGAGACAAGCTATTAATTCCTGGTGATAAAACAGAGTCAAGCTATTAAATCCTGGTGATAAACAGAGACAAGCTATTAAATCATGGTGTTAAAACAGAGATAAGCTATTAAATCCTGGTGTTTAAACAGAGACAAGCTATTAAATCATGGTGTTAAAACAGAGACAAGCTATTAAATCCTGGTGTTAAAACAGAGACAAGCTATTAAATCCTGGTGTTAAACAGACAAGCTATTAATTCATGGTGATAAAACAGAACAACTGTTAATCCTGGTGTTAAACAGAGACAAGCTATTACATCCTGTTGTTTAAACAGAGACAAGCTATTAAATCCTGGTGTTAAAACAGAGATAAGCTATTAAATCCTGGTGTTAAAACAGAGACAAGCTATTAATTCCTGGTGTTAAAACAGAGACAAGCTATCAAATCCTGGTGTTAAAACAGAGACAAGCTAATAAATCCTGGTGTTAAAACAGACAAGCTATTAAATCCTGCTGTTAAACAGAGATAAGCTTTTAAATCCTGTTGTTAAAACAGAGACAAACTATTAAATCCTGGTGTTAAAACAGAGACAAGCTATTAAATCCTGGTGTTAAACAGAGTCAAGCTATTAAATCCTGGTGTTAAAACAGAGACAAGCTATTAAATCCTGGTGTTAAAACAGACAAGCTATTAAATCCTGGTGTTGAAACAGAGACAAGCTATTAAATCCTGGTGTTAAAACAGAGACAAGCTATTAAATCATGGTGTTAAAACAGACAAGCTATTAATTCATGGTGATAAAACAGAGACAAGCTGTTAAATCCTGGTGTTAAACAGAGACAAGCTATTACATCCTGTTGTTTAAACAGAGACAAGCTATTAAATCCTGGTGTTAAAACAGACACACTATTAAATCCTGGTTTTAAAACAAAACAGAGACAAGCTATTAAATCCTGGTGTTAAAACAGAGACAAGTTATTAAATCTTGGTGTTAAAACAGAGACAAGCTATTAAATCCTGGTGTTAAAACAGAGACAAGCTATTAAATCCTGGTGTTAAACAGAGACAAGCTATTAAATCCTGGTGTTAAACAGAGACAAGCTATTAAATCCTGGTGTTAAAACAGAGATAAGCTATTAAATCCTGGTGTTAAAACAGAGACAAGCTATTAAATCCTGGTGATAAAACAGAGTCAAGCTATTAAATCCTGGTGATAAACAGAGTCAAGCTATTAAATCCTGGTGTTAAACAGAGTCAAGCTATTAAATCCCGGTGATAAAATAGAGACAAGCAATTCAATCCTGGTGTTAAAACAGACAAGCTATTAAATCCTCAACAAGCTTTACAGCCCTGCAAAGGCCCAGGGCAGTAAGGAAGAGGAGATGGGATATGGAAAGGCCCAGGGCAGTAAGGAAGAGGGGATGGGATATGGAAAGGCCCAGGGCAGTAAGGAAGAGGAGATGGGATATGGAAAGGCCCAGGGCAGTAAGGAGAGGAGATGGGATAGGGAAAAGGCCCAGGGCAGTAAGGAAAGAGGAGAGGGGGTTTGGGAAAGGCCCGGGGCAGAAGGAAGAGGAGATGGGATATGGAAAAAGGCCCAGGGCATAAGGAGGAGGAGATGGGATATGGAAAGGCCCAGGGAAAGTAAGGAAGAGGAGATGGGATATGGAAAGGCCCAGGGCAGTAAGGAAGACGAGATGGGATTGGAAAGGCCCAGGGCAGTAAGGAAGAGGAGATGGGATATGGAAAGGCCCAGGGCAGTAAGGAAGAGAGAGGGATATGGAAGGCCCAGGGCAGTAAGGAAGAGGAGATGGGATATGGAAAGGCCCAGGGCAGTAAGGAAGAGAGATGGGATATGGAAAGGCCCAGGGCAGTAAGGAAGAGGAGATGGGATTGGAAAGGCCCAGGGCAGAAGGAGAGGAGAGGGATATGGAAAGGCCCAGGGCAGTAGTAAGGAAGAGGAGATGGGATATGGAAAGGCCCAGGGCAGTAAGGAGGAGGAGATGGGATATGGAAAGGCCCAGGGCAGTAAGGAAGGAGGAGATGGGATATGGAAAGGCCCAGGGCAGTAAGGAAGAGGGAGATGGGATATGGAAAGGCCCAGGGCAGTAAGGAAGAGAGATGGATAGAAGGCCCAGGGAGTAGGGGGATGGGATTGGAAGGCCCAGGGCAGTAGTAAGGAGGGGAGATGGGATATGGAAAGGCCCAGGGCAGTAAGGAAGAGGAGATGGGATATGGAAAGGCCCAGGGCAGTAAGGAAGAGGAGATGGGATATGGAAAGGCCCAGGGCAGTAAGGAAGAGGAGATGGGATATGGAAAGGCCCAGGGCAGTAAGGAAGAGGAGATGGGATATGGAAAGGCCCAGGGCAGTAAGGAAGAGGAGTAGGGATATGGAAAGGCCAGGGCAGTAAGGAAGAGGAGATGGGATATGGAAAGCCCAGGGCAGTAAGGAGGGGAGATGGGATATGGAAAGGCCCAGGGCAGTAAGGAAGAGGAGATGGGATATGGAAAGGCCCAGGGCAGTAAAGGAAGAGGAGATGGGATATGGAAAGGCCCAGGGCAGTAGAGGAGGGGAGATGGGATATGGAAAGGCCCAGGGCAGTAAGGAAGAGGAGATGGGATATGGAAAGGCCCAGGGCAGTAAGGAAGGGGGAGATGGGATATGGAAAGGCCCAGGGCAGTAAGGAAGAGGAGATGGGATATGGAAAGGCCCAGGGCAGTAAGGAGAGGAGATGGGATATGGAAAGGCCCAGGGCAGTTAGGAAGAGGAGATGGGATATGGAAAGGCCCAGGGCAGTAAGGAAGAGGAGATGGGATATGGAAAGGCCCAGGGCAGTAAGGAAGAGGAGATGGGATATGGAAAGGCCCAGGGCAGTAAGGTAGAGGAGATGGGATATGGAAAGGCCCAGGGCAGTAAGGAAGAGGAGATGGGATATGGAAAGGCCCAGGGCAGTAAGGAAGAGGAGATGGGATATGGAAAGGCCCAGGGCAGTAAGGAAGAGGAGATGGGATATGGAAAGGCCCAGGGCAGTAAGGAAGAGGAGATGGGATATGGAAAGGCCCAGGGCAGTAAGGAAGAGGAGATGGGATATGGAAAGGCCCAGGGCAGTAAGGAGGAGGAGATGGGATATGGAAAGGCCCAGGGCAGTAAGGAAGAGGAGATGGGATATGGAAAGGCCCAGGGCAGTAGGAGGAGGAGATGGGATATGGAAAGGCCCAGGGCAGTAAGGAGGAGGAGATGGGATATGGAAAGGCCCAGGGCAGTAAGGAAGAGGAGATGGGATATGGAAAGGCCCAGGGCAGTAAGGAGGAGGAGATGGGATATGGAAAGGCCCAGGGCAGTAAGGAAGAGGAGATGGGATATGGAAAGGCCCAGGGCAGTAAGGAAGAGGAGATGGGATATGGAAAGGCCCAGGGCAGTAAGGAGGGGAGATGGGATATGGAAAGGCCCAGGGCAGTAAGGAAGAGGAGATGGGGATATGGAAAGGCCCAGGGCAGTAAGGAAGAGGAGATGGGATATGGAAAGGCCCAGGGCAGTAAGGAAGAGGAGATGGGATATGGAAAGGCCCAGGGCAGTAAGGAAGAGGAGATGGGATATGGAAAGGCCCAGGGCAGTAAGGAGGAGGAGATGGGATATGGAAAGGCCCAGGGCAGTAAGGAAGAGGAGATGGGATATGGAAAGGCCCAGGGCAGTAAGGAAGAGGAGATGGGATATGGAAAGGCCCAGGGCAGTAAGGAAGAGGAGATGGGATATGGAAAGGCCCAGGGCAGTAAGGAAGAGGAGATGGGATATGGAAAGGCCCAGGGCAGTAAGGAAGAGGAGATGGGATATGGAAAGGCCCAGGGCAGTAAGGAGGAGGAGATGGGATATGGAAAGGCCCAGGGCAGTAAGGAAGAGGAGATGGGATATGGAAAGGCCCAGGGCAGTAAGGAAGACGAGATGGGATATGGAAAGGCCCAGGGCAGTAAGGAAGAGGAGATGGGATATGGAAAGGCCAGGGCAGTAAGGAAGAGGAGATGGGATATGGAAAGGCCCAGGGCAGTAAGGAAGAGGAGATGGGATATGGAAAGGCCCAGGGCAGTAAGTAAGGAAGAGGAGATGGGATATGGAAAGGCCCAGGGCAGTAAGGTAGAGGAGATGGGATATGGAAAGGCCCAGGGCAGTAAGGAAGAGGAGATGGGATATGGAAAGGCCCAGGGCAGTAAGGTAGAGGAGATGGGATATGGAAAGGCCCAGGGCAGTAAGGAAGAGGAGATGGGATATGGAAAGGCCCAGGGCAGTAAGGAAGAGGAGATGGGATATGGAAAGGCCCAGGGCAGTAAGGAAGAGGGGATGGGATATGGAAAGGCCCAGGGCAGTAAGGTAGAGGAGATGGGATATGGAAAGGCCCAGGGCAGTAAGGAAGAGGAGATGGGATATGGAAAGGCCCAGGGCAGTAAGGAAGAGGAGATGGGATATGGAAAGGCCCAGGGCAGTAAGGTAGAGGAGATGGGATATGGAAAGGCCCAGGGCAGTAAGGAGGAGGAGATGGGATATGGAAAGGCCCAGGGCAGTAAGGAAGAGGAGATGGGATATGGAAAGGCCCAGGGCAGTAAGGAGGAGGAGATGGGATATGGAAAGGCCCAGGGCAGTAAGGTAGAGGAGATGGGATATGTTTTCCAAGAGGTATCTACTCTGGGACAAAAAGGTATTGTTGGAAACAGGTGGCAATATCTGATCACCTTTCAGTTGAGCATCCTGTCCAGGGTGTGTACATCAAGCTGCCTCAAGCTACTGAAACAGGAGATAGCCTCTCTCTCTCTCTGCCCTGTGGGCCATTCTGGCTTGGACAAGGCTTACTTCATTTTCAGTTAACTGATCAAATGACACCAAGAGACAAAATGAAGCCTCTTCTAACAATAGCCGTAAAATGGGAGAATTAAAACTGTGACTGAATGAATATACTACATCATTTCACATAGTGTCTCCGACATCTCTCTGACATCCATCCCTACAGATATACAACACCTAATGTTTCGGTTGTGTAAACCTGTTTAAATGACACCAAGAGACACAAATAAAAGCCTCTTCTGACACTATGACAATAGCACCATAAATTGGGAGAATTAGAACTGTGAATACTAAGTCCCTTTTGTATGGTCTCACTGACATCCACACAGTCTATCTGTCTGACATCCATCCCTACAGACAGACAGACAGACAGACAGACAGACAGACAGACAGACAGACAGACAGACAGACAGACAGACAGACAGACAGACAGACAGACAGACAGACAGACAGACAGACAGACAGACAGACAGAGGAATGTGGAGGAATCTAATATCTGTCTGTTTGGTCAACAAGACATAAGAAACCAAGCACCTCAGTGTGAAATGTATCCGTTCCTGAGAGGGAGCAGTGAAGGCATGAAGACAAGACAACCTCTCTGTCCCAAATGGCACCCTATTCCCTATGTACTGCACTACTTTCGACCAGAGCCCCATGGATATGGTATAGGAATAGGGTGCCATTTGGGATGCATTCATCCTCTTCGGTCTGGAAATCAATACGGCAGACGTGACTGTCAATAGAACTGCAGTGTCTGAAGGGGTATTATGAGTTCACCCTGTCAATCAAACGTTTTCCTTTTGGAGAGATAGGATGTGCTTGACGGGCTGCCATAGGACTCTGGTCAAAGATGCACTATCTGGGGAATATGGTGCCATTTCAGACCCAGCCTAAATCAAATCAAATCAAACATCGCTGTTCCATTCTTCAGTTGAAACATCGCTGTTCCATTCTTCAGTTGAAACATCGCTGTTCCATTCTTCAGTTGAAACATCGCTGTTCCATTCTTCAGTTGAAACATCGCTGTTCCATTCTTTAGTTGAAACATCGCTGTTCCATTCTTCAGTTGAAACATCGCTGTTCCATTCTTTAGTTGAAACATTGCTGTTCCTCTCTTTAGATGAAACATCACTGTTCCTCTCTTTAGATGAAACATCGCTGTTCCTCTCTTTAGATGAAACATCGCTGTTCCTCTCTTTAGATGAAACATCACTCATTAGAGAATCTAATCTGATTACCAACCAGTTCAGACAGATTTTCTGCTGTGGGCAAACTCAATGGCAGCTCGCCTAAATGGTGGCCAAGCAGAGTGGAAAAGAAGGACATCCATTGTATTCACATGGGCTCATCCTTTCATAGCATGCGTCCCAAATGGCACCCTTTTCCCTTTGTAGTGCCTTACTTTCCTTATGGGCCCTGGTCAAAAGTAGTGCACTATGTAGGGTATCATTTGAGACCCATCCATAGAGAGAGAGAGACCATTTACATAATCATAACACTATCAACCCCCAAACTAAAACAAATACAGGTGGAATATTTTGGTTGGTTTTTGTTGAAGGTATCTGTAACCAACAGATGCATATCTGTATTCCCAGTCATGTGAAATCCATCAACTATTTCCTTATATGAACTGTAACTCAGTAAAATCTTTGAAATTGTTGCATGCTGCGTTTATATTTTTGTTCAGTTTAAGTTAAAATCACTAGTGCTATTGAAAAGCTCCACGCTTGGTTTAACATGGTGCTAAAGTATTTTTGGCTTAGAAATAACTCTCTCATATCTCAACCACTGATGGGAATGAAGGAGAGAGTGTGTGAGAGAGAGAGAGAGAGAGAGAGAGAGAGAGAGAGAGAGAGAGAGAGAGAGAGAGAGAGAGAGAGAGAGAGAGAGAGAGAGAGAGAGAGAGAGAGAGAGAGAGAGAGAGAGAGAGGGAGAGAGAGAGAGGGGGAGAGCGAGAGAGAGAGCGAGAGCGAGAGATAGGCAATTTAATCCTAATTCTTCACATTCACATCTGTATAAACCAAGGTTATAATGCTGTAGATTGTGTTTTTATATTAATTTTTATTTCTATTCGTTTTTCAATTTTTATTTGAAATCCAGTTTAGTTTCAGTTCGTTTTCTGACCTGATTTGCTCATTTATATTTCGTTTTTATATTATTTCGTTTTAATTTTAGTGTTAGTGACAAAAAGCATGGCTGGGAGGCTAGGAAACATTTGTGTTGTATAGTGGGACTGGAGGCAGTAATACACCAGGTGATGGGTCAGATCATGTGGTCGTCTGTAGCTCAGCTGGTAGAGCACGGCGCTTGTAACGCCAAGGTAGTGGTTTCGATCCCCGGGACCACACGTACCCAAAAAAATTTATGCACGCATGACTGCAAGTCGCTTTGGATAAAAGCGTCTGCTAAATGGCATTTATTATTATCATAGCCTAGGTTATGTTCAAATTACAAAGTCAATCTCAATGTGACTTAGATGTAAAAGGAATAGCGCCGAGACTGGTGAACAAAATATGGTGGAAAGAAACTCTCTGTCACCCATGTTTACACCACTGAGGTACAGGGCTTTATTACACCAATACAATCCCTTTTAACGTGTAAGAAGAATCAAGTTAGCTACCCTAACCGATGTTTCCCTGTTAGCTAGTGATGGTGATGCTAGGCCTATTTGAAACATCACCATCTCCTGGCAGGATTTATTTACCCGGCAGATTCAGTAGTTTAAAACCCTCCAACATATAGGGAATAGGGTAACCATAGGGCTCTGGTCGAACGTAGAGCCGTATGATATGGGAAATACGGTTAACGTTCAGACGGACCCACTCACCTGAGAGAAGTTGAGTCCGTTGAGCGGGTGACACTGCTCCTCCACTTTCTCCACGGCTCCTGTCCTCTTCCCCATCCTCTCTGCCTCCTGGGCCAGGTACAGATCCAACACCGGGACCCCCCTTGTCTTAACGTCCGCCTCCGTCAACGAGTTCACCATCAACATCACCCACACGGGCCTCTTCCTCTCCCAGTTCCCCGCTATCGCATTAAACAGGTAGTCAGCGTAGAGACCTTTACCCCTCTGGTCCGGAGTCATCCAGGACGGCATCATGAGCTTGACGTACTCCAAGTGCCTCTTGAGGCGTCTGTAGATGTCCCTGGGTAGAACGTCCTGTAGGGTTCCCCCCTGGGGAAGGAGCTGGCAGCTGGTCAGGGCTGAGATGGTGTAGGGGTCAGTTAGGTCCAGCTCCAAGTACACCATGTTGCTCTCCTGGAAAGCCTTCTTGGAGTTCTCCGGGATAAAGTCCCAGACGCGTGTGTAAGGGACGTGGATCGTGCCGTAGAAGTAGGACGGAGGGTTACGTTTGATGGTCCACAGGAAAGAGTTCAGATCGCTTTGCTGCCGACGGCGAAAGAAGAAGAAAAACAGACATGAGTGAATTAGTATTATTATTACCAGGCTATAAACCACATTAGTATTATTATTACCAGGCTATAAACCACATTAGTATTATTATTACCAGGCTATAAACCACATTAGTAGTATTATTACCAGGCTATAAACCACATTAGTAGTATTATTACCAGGCTATAAACCACATTAGTATTATTATTATTACCAGGCTATAAACCACATTAGTATTATTATTACCAGGCTATAAACCACATTAGTATTATTATTACCAGGCTATAAACCACATTAGTAGTATTATTACCAGGCTATAAACCACATTAGTATTATTATTATACCCAGGGCTATAAACCACATTAGTATTATTATTACCGGCGATAAACCACATTAGTATTATTTTATTACCAGGCTATAAACCACATTAGTATATTATTACCAGGCTATAAACCCACATTAGTATTAGTATTACCAGGCTATAAACACATTAGTATGTAGTATTACCAGGCTATAAACCACATTAGTAGTATTATTACCAGGCTATAAACCACATTAGTATTATTATTACCAGGCTATAAACCACATTAGTATTATTATTACCAGGCTATAAACCACATTAGTATTATTATTACCAGGCTATAAACCACATTAGTATTATTATTACCAGGCTATAAACCACTTAGTATTATTATTACCAGGCTATAAACCACATTAGTATTATTATATTACCAGGCTATAAACCACATTAGTATATTATTACCAGGCTATAAACCACATTAGTATTATTATTACCAGGCTATACAACCACATTAGTGTTATTATTACCAGGCTATAAACCACATTAGTATTATTATTACCAGGCTATAAACCACATTTAGTATTATTATTACCAGGCTATAAACCACTTTAGTATTATTATTACCAGGCTATAAACCACTTTAGTATTATTATTACCAGGCTATAAACCACTTAGTATTATTATTACCAGGCTATAAACCACATTAGTATTATTATTACCAGGCTATAAACCACATTAGTTTATTATACCAGGCTATAAACCACATTAGTATTATTATTACCAGGCTATAAACCACATTGATATATTATTATTACCAGGCTATAAACCACATTAGTATTATTATTACCAGGCTAAACCACTTAGTATTATTATTACCAGGCTATAAACCACATTAGTATTATTATTACCAGGCTATAAACCACATTAGTATTATTATTACCAGGCTATAAACCACATTAGTATTATTATTACCAGGCTATAAACCACATTCGTATTATTATTATTATTACCAGGCTATAAACCACATTAGTATTAGTATTATTACCAGGCTACACAACCACATTAGTATTATTATTATTACCAGGCTATAAACCACATTAGTAGTATTATTACCAGGCTATAAACCACATTAGTATTATTATTACCAGGCTATAAACCACATTAGTATTATTATTACCAGGCTATAAACCACATTCGTATTATTATTATTATTACCAGGCTATAAACCACATTAGTATTAGTATTATTACCAGGCTACACAACCACATTAGTATTATTATTATTACCAGGCTATAAACCACATTAGTAGTATTATTACCAGGCTATAAACCACATTATTATTATTATTACCAGGCTATAAACCACATTAGCGTTTTTTGGTCAACCCAAAAACCTGATCATATAATGTCATTGATGTGAACAATAGTTTTATGGCTGCGTGTGTGTGATGTCATTCACCAACTATGTCACTAAAGTTTGTTTTTTTTAAGATATGGACAAACAAACCATTTTAATAGGTGGCCCTTCTAAAACAGACTTACAATAAACACAAAGAACTACTAGTTCTCATCCATTGCAAATAGACAGTGGGAACATTTTAGCTATTTAAATGGTCTGAGACTGTTGATTCTAAATGTGGTAGGCTATTTGATGCTCGTTAATGACTAACACAATACACATCTGATATGAACTACGCTCTCTGAGGAAATGGAAACTTTACAGGTTGAATGGATGAATGAACTAGTCTAAATAACCCATTGTGTAAATAAAAAAGTGAACGGAAGAAGAATCATATAACATAGTTATAGCCAAAACTGGACAGTGGACATTCAGATAGGCCTACTGAAATCCCAGTTCGTTTTAAATACTAACTGTTTCATTGGAGAGAGAAAAATTATAATTTACTTAGATGTAAGACTCATATATTAGAGAGAAAGTGATATTAGGCCACTTACTTTCTTATTTAGCTGGCAGTTAGAGGACTCCCGGAGGCTCCATTGGTCAGCTCCGTTCACCAGCAATATCAGGAATGCTTGAATAAATGTGACCCAAGAGATCAGCATCGTAACTCCAAACGTGCACGCTATTTTCACGTGTCGTCGCAAGATGAAGCTACCCAAAAACAATTCGCTCCGGGGAAACAGACTAAATTAATTTCAAAATGTCAGTTCCATGGAAATAATAAGTCGAAACACGCCGACATATAACCTATCTACCTTCCTGCCGCCGGAAGAACTCATGTTTGAGTGAAATTGCTTTCAATACTTAACTTGAGTGTTTGTTTTTTCACTTGTGTGAAAAGGCATTGACGTTATTTGGTGGCTATGTCGTCATGCTGTTTGTCTTGATTCTGACACTTTTCCCTCATATCTGATAATAAGGTGCCTTGCATGGCACGCCAGGGAAACCTACAACTTTATCCGCGATAGTAGGCTAGACTACAAGTCCTCAATAAGATACATCAAATCTATCTTTCCCGTGTTTTATAGCCCACTCACTCTTAGGACGGAGCAGACGGAGCACGATGAGTACGTTTCTACCCAAAGTGCACGCGAGCAACAGGTTTTATTCTAAACTAAAACTACGTGCAACTCCGAAATGAGCGGTGGAAATCGTCCTCGCTGCGATGCTCTTACTCTGCTCTACTTCCAAACACAGGCCCGCAGATACAACTTATTGTACCGGTGTTGTTCGAAATTCGAACATTGTAACACTTTCTTTAGAATCGGTTGTCCAACTCCAAAGCGGCATCAACCGTCCGCGAATCATCGAAGAAACTGGATAAACGTTCTTTATCGTGTGTCGTCTGTGTTTCCATAACTCCAGACTGCCCCTCATTACTCCCTCACAGTGTGGCTGGAGTGGGAGCATCTCTGTCAGGCTCAAGGCATGGGGCATACCTACCCTCCAGCCCCCTCCTCTCTCCACCCCCCTCCCCCTTGCACACGCACACTGTGCAATCTGATTTAACATCTCACCCCTCCGCAGGTCGTGGCGGGATATATAAGGAGCACACGCATTCACTTCAAAAGTAGAAACCGAGTACGGCTGTTCTATTCCTCCAGGTTTTTATCAGGGGCTTTCAAGGCATGCTGGACCGGGTTGTAGTGTCGTTTCCAGAGAACCCTCTATGATCCCCAACAGTAGGTTAGCTACAGAGATAGTTGGACAAATGATTTCACACCCAGTAAACAATTACAACGTATTAGGTGACTGAAAATGAATACCGTTTATTTTTATTTTTTATAATAGCACATGTATTACCTTTATTTAACCAGGAAGCCTAGGCCTAACTTATCAAATAGCAAATAATAATTATTACCATTATTATGGTAAATCACTGATTCTCCTTTATTGAGTGGGCTAGGGATAATCGCTGTATTGACTATTAGCGGAGCCGCAATTGAGGAGGGCAGGCGGGGGTGTTGGATTACCTTGTAGTTCCATAATGTCCTGCTAATGTCCTACCTGCTAAACCACCACGACATTACCACCAGAATACACCCGCAGAGGCCACCACCCCGCTCTGACAGCACGCAGTTAATAGCCGACATGTTGATGAATAGGGTAAAGAGACAGACTCTATGTAAATACAAATATTGAGTAAAGACAAAGACAGTTGGTTTGTTGGTAAATAAATCCTATGGTTACACAATACAATCGACAGTACTATAAGTTGTCTGGCAATGGGCAATAGCCACTGTAAAATGGTCCTATGTTTATAATTTCCTTCTTGTCAATGGGAATTTATCAGACAATTTTTCATTGATTTATTTTAAACAAGTTTATTAAGTGTATTAAACTATATACACTGAACAAAAATATAAACGCAACATGTGTTGGTCCCATGTTTCATGAACTGAAATACAAAATCCCAAAAATCTTCCATACACACAAAAAGCTTATTTATCTCAAATTTTGTGCACACATTCCTTTACATTACTGTTAGTGAGCATTTCTCCTTTGCCAAGATAATCCATCCACCTGACAGGTGTGGCATATCAAGAAGCTGATTAAACAGCATGATCATTACACAGGTGCACCTTGTGCTATTATGCAGTTTTGTCACACAACACAATGCCACAGATGTCTCAAGTTTTGAGGGAGCGTACAATTGGCATGCTGACTGCAGGAATGTCCACCAGAGGCTGACTGCAGGAATGTCCACCAGAGGCTGACTGCAGGAATGTCCACCAGAGGCTGACTGCAGGAATGTCCACCAGAGGCTGACTGCAGGAATGTCCACCAGAGGCTGACTGCAGGAATGTCCACCACAGGCTGACTGCAGGAATGTCCACCACAGGCTGACTGCAGGAATGTCCACCAGAGGCTGACTGCAGGAATGTCCACCACAGGCTGACTGCAGGAATGTCCACCACAGGCTGACTGCAGGAATGTCCACCAGAGCTGTTGCCAGAGAATATTATGTTCATTTCTCTACTATAAGCCGCCGCCAACGTCGTTTTAGAGAATTTGGCAGGACATCCAGCCGGTCTCACAACCGCAGACCACGTGTAACCACGCCAGCCCAGGACCTCCACATCCGGCTTCTTCACCTGCGGGATCGTCTGAGGGGGGGTAGGGGCGGGTGCGGAGGAGTATTTCTGTCTGTAATAAAGCCCTTTTGTGGGGGAAAACTCATTCTAATTGGCTGGGCTGGGCCTGGCTCCCCAGTGGGTGGGCCTATGCCCTCCCAGGCCCACCCATGTCTAAGCCCCTGCCCAGTCATGTGAAATCCGTAGATTAGGGCCTAATTAATTAATTTAAATTGACAATTTCCTTATATGAACTGTAACTCAGTGAAATCTAATGTTGCATTTATATTTTTGTTCAGTATAAAAGAGACTAGTCACTTTACTGAGTTACACTGTCTTAGCCTAATAGGGTTTTAGTTATTTTAGATAAAACATTATTTTTGAAGTGCTATTTAGATTTTACATTTACATTTTAGTCATTTAACAGACACTCTTATCCAGATCGACTTACAGTTAGTGCGTTCATCTTAATAATAATAAGCCATTTAGCAGACGCTTTTATCCAAAGCGACTTACAGTCATGCGTGCATACATTTTTAGGTATGGGTGGTCCCGGGGATCGAACCCACTACCCTGGCGTTACAAGCTACCATGCTCTACCAATTGAGCTACAGAGGACCACCTTAAGATAACTAGGTGGGGCAACCACATATCTTAGTCATAGTAAGTAAAACGTGTCTCAATAAAGTAGCTATCAGCAAAGTCAGTGCTAGTAGGCGGGAAAGAGTCAAGTGCTAGTGCCACCATTGGTGTGCCAGGACAGAGAAGAGCTTTGACTGGGCTGAGCAGGATCTGCCCTCCGGTAGGGGTGGGAGGGCCAAGAGGCCAGAGGTGGCCAAGTTATTTCACATCCAATCATCTTCTAAAGGCTTGTGGTCGATTCCATTTTATAGGATGTACACTGAATTTCCCCAGTGAGGAAAATGTCGAATTGGAATTTGGTTTACATTCTGAATGGACTGGAATTGAAATGGAATTGACCTCGAGCCTGATTAAAGGCCTAAATGGCTAGCTCTTCCTGACCATCACACGTAGAATGGGTAGGAGCACCTTCTATTGGCTCAACACAGTCCCTGAAAGACATTCCCTTGCTTCCCAATTTACATTTACATCTGGAAATATGTCCTAAAGTAAATGTTGTTTTGTGCCAAAGTAGGTATTATTATTTATTTATGTATATATTGGCCCATCCTCTTCGGAGGACAAAAGTGACTTTGTTTTACATTAATCCCACCCCTCAGCTACTCTCAGCCAATCCCACCCCTCAGCTACTCTCAGCCAATCCCACCCCTCAGCTACTCTCAGCCAATCCCACCCCTCAGCTACTCTCAGCCAATCCCACCCCTCAGCTACTCTCAGCCAATCCCACCCCTCAGCTACTCTCAGCCAATCCCAACCCTCAGCTACTCTCAGCCAATCCCACCCCTGAGCTACTCTCAGCCAATCCCACCCCTCAGCTACTCTCAGCCAATCCCAACCCTCAGATACTCTCAGCCAATCCCACCCCTCAGCTACTCTCAGCCAATCCCACCCCTCAGCTACTCTCAGCCAATCCCACCCCTCAGCTACTCTCAGCCCATCCCACCTATCTCCGTAGACCATCCCTTTTTTAAATTTCCATATACACTGAGTGTACAAAACATTAGGAACACCGGCTCTTTCCATGACATAGACTAACCAGGTGAATCCAGGTGAAAGCTATGATCCCTTATTGATGTCACCTGTTAAATCCACTTCAATCAGTCTAGACGAAGAGGAGGAGACAGGGTTAAAGAAGGGTTTTTAAACCTTGAAACAACTGAGACATGGAATGTTTATGTGCCGTTCTGAGGGTGAATAGGGAAGACTAAATATGTAAGTGCCTTTGAACGGGGTATGGTAGTAGGTGCCAGGCGCACCGGTTTGTGTCAAGAACTGCAACGCTGCTGGGTTTTTCACTTGACACAACTGCGGGAAGCATTGGAGTCAACATGGGGCCAGCATCCCTGTGGAACGCTTTTGACACCTTGTAGAGTCCGTGCCCCGACAAATTGAGGCAGTTCTGAGGGCAAAAGGGGGTGCAACTCAATGTTAGGAAGATGTTCCAAATGTTTTGTACAACCAGTGTAGAGTTATATAGAGAGATATGGAGATATAGTGTTTGGTACACTCAGTGTATTTTCCCACTGTGCTGTGATGTTGTGATGTGCTGTGATGTAATCCATAGATTAGGGCCTAATTCATTTATTTAAATTGACTGATTTCTATATATGAATTGTAACTCAGTAAAATCGTTCAAATGGTTGCATGTTGTGTTTACTAGTGTCAGAACAGAACAGAACCTCCTGGAAGTGTTCTCACTCCAGGCATGCCTCCCAAATGGCACCCTAATTCCCTATATAGTGCTGTGGGCCCTGGTCAAAAGTAGTGCACTATAAAGGGACTAGAGTGCAATTAGGGACACAGCCCCCAGCCCAGATATGAGAGAAGCTCAGTCTCTGCATGTTTCCTTTCAACAGGAGATCAACGCTTCTAGTACTTATTTTCCTCTATCCCAGTGTGTGAAAGAAAGAGAGCTCTGTGTTTGCTCTGGATAGACCGGATCATCCTTGTCTCTGGATCTGATTTAGAAATCTTATTTAGCGTCCCAAGCTGAGTTGAAGTGTTAGCAGTGTTGAGACAAGCTGGGTTGAAGGAGCAGAGAGCGGAGCAGAAGGGGCAGGGATGTGGGGTTGAAGGAGCAGAGAGCGGAGCAGAAGGGGCAGGGATGTGGGGTTGAAGGAGCAGAGAGCGGAGCAGAAGGGGCAGGGATGTGGGGTTGAAGGAGAAGAGAGCGGAGCAGAAGGGGCAGGGATGTGGGGTTGAAGGAGCAGAGAGCGGAGCAGAAGGGGCAGGGATGTGGGGTTGAAGGAGCAGAGAGCGGAGCAGAAGGGGCAGGGATGTGGGGTTGAAGGAGAAGAGAGCGGAGCAG